AATATTGTATTGAAAACAAACTTTTCTGTATACAATATACAGAACATTCTAGTGGAAAGCATGTAAAAAATGTAGAGTTTTTTAAAAAGTGAAAGTTAGATAACGCTATGGGTGGACAAGTGGAAATTATTTGGGAGGGGATGAGTTGAAGACTGAAACTTCAAAGGTGGCAATGAATTAGGTAATGCCATACAGCTCTGAATATGGCAAAAATATTTAAAAAGTTGTTTTTTTTTAATAGTGCATTTCAGGAATAATTAAAATCTAAACAGGCAAGGCTAATAGCCACTGGCAGCCCCATTCTTCTTACATTAGTTTCATCTTCTTTTGAGGCAATCCACATTTAGTTTTGCATTTGCCCAGTTCCCATATCGCAGTACCCCTATTTTCATTTCCCAACTCTCAGAAACACCATCACTGACCTTGAAACGGAAAGAACACCACATGAGGTAATGAGTGCACCCCTCAGCTCACCAAGAGGGCAAAATGCACACAAAAAAAACAGCCAACCAGTGTCTCCTTCCACATTCTTAATTCATGCCCCCCCCAAAATCTGAGATTTTACAATGGGGGGGGGTTTGCAAAGTTAGTAGGTACCTCTGTTCAATCTAGAACAGCTGAGAAATTATTTTTCTGAGAGTTTAATCTGTGGGGAGTAGAGAAAGCCTGGGAGGTTCCAACTAATAGGAAAATGGCCTGCCCAAAGCTTTAAAGAATTCTCAGTAAATTGCAGCTAAATTGGACATAAATCAGCTCAGCTGCCAAAGATGTCAGCATGGAATTAGATGGGCATGGTCTTAATCCAGGACAGCATGGGGAGGGTTTGGTTTATTTGGTTTGACTAATGAATTGTTAAACCCTCCCAGTGTGATCTGTAAATCATGGCTTATGAATTGGTGTGCTGTGAAAAACCAGCTGCTGATAATTCAACAAACCATTGTAAAGCAAACCAGCTTACTGTAGTATGTGAATAAGGTCACTGTATAAAGAAATATATTGGAATTTAGGTTGTAGACCTGTGTTGTTCTAAGCACAAAGTAGATAAAAATATTATTGAGCCCTAGTGATATATTACGAGGAAGTTCACGGTATTGTACTTTATAGAATAAATGTGCAGGGAGAGATACAATGGGAGCTTGGTTTACAGATTATAGTTTAGGCAAAAACAACACAAGATGAACGGACTGCTGATTTCCAATGTCAAAAAAGAAAATATATTGATTAAAAAGTCAACAAATAGAGGATAATATCAAGAAAAGAAAAATGAGAGCTCTTTGCAAGAAGATCAATTGTATCATAGGAAAATTTACAGTTAAGGTAGGAACTCTCAAGAGTAGTCATGCAAGAGATCTGATAAAGGCAGATGAGAAAAAAGGAAGATGAAACACTTTACAAAAAAGTATATGAAATGACAAACCATCAGGAACTAATTCTATCTAGAAAATGAAGTAAGACAAGCTAGATTAGGTTTCAAATGAGAAAGCACCAGGTAGAGATATCCACTGAACTATTTAAACTTGCAAAGAAAGAGATTAATTTATTTATCAACAAATCTATTTTTGTTAATAAAACCTATATTTGTTCTTTGTCAAATATAAAAAAGACAGGATGTTCTAAAAATTGGGGAAAGAGTATTTTTCTAACTAAAAATGGAGACACAACTGAATATACAAATCATCAAATAATTATACTAATTTCTTTTAAACAAAATTGTAGAGGAACAGAAGTTTTCCTTAAGATTTTATGAAGAAATAATAGAGGCATACATGGAGAGAGGAATGTGAAATGTACAGGCAGGTTTCCAAAAAAGACAGAGCTGAAATCAGATAATGAAATGTAATAGAGATATATTATAGAATATAAATAGAATGGTGACAAAAGGTTTAAATGCACTTTGAGATATAGCACTTTGTTATCCAAAAGTAAAGATTTTTAGATAGCTCGCTATGAAAGTAAGTGAAAATGTTAATATTAAAGACATTAAGAAAACAAAGATAATGTCATCCTATGTGATTACTGAATTTATAGCAGTTAGCAATAATTTTGGTTTTGAGGCTGTAGAAAGATGAACAGCATGCTGAAGAAATAAAGAGATTAATCTTAGAGGAAAAAAGTAATGACAATTTTAGATAAGATCATGAAGGATAAGGACATTTCAATGACAACAAGGATGCAATTGTTTTCCCAGTGGTAATGTATAATTGTGGATACTGGTCACTGAAAAGAGCAAGACAAAGAAGATAAATACCTTTGAATTTATGGATTTGAAGAGAATTACTAATTGGATATATGGACTGCAAGGAAAAAAGTATGATTGAACCAACCATTTGGACCAACCAACTGCTTCCTAGAAGTGATGATCAGCAAATATATAGTGAGAGAAATATAAGAGGAGGTCTATTGATAAGATGGAGGAAAGGTTCAAAAGATTGATGGAATGTCTTTGGAAAGGCTAACAAGCATAGAGAGCATTTGCCCATAGAATCATCAGGTGTCAACTCAACTTGATGGCACCTAGTTAATTTAAAGCATTGAGGATTTTTTAACCCTATTTGGAGGTGTCAGTAACTGAATATTATTATTGCAACTAATATTAATTTATATTCCTCCTTGCTACCCAGACTTCCACTAAGCAAAGTACGTACTGAGTTATATACTCATGTGTTTCCCCTTACATGTTATTTGAATTTCTTCAGAATATACATACTTAGGATTGTGCTATACATTCAGTAAAACTTCCTACTTTGATGCAGTGCTGATGTTTGGCATAATTTTTCCTGTGACACAAAACATGTTAGTAGTAACTTGTTCTTCTTTGCAGATTGTTCAGCCATTATTATGTTTATGCTGCAATCAATTTTTAAGCAATGCTGTCTTTGTCATCAAGAAAAGTAGAAAACAGTAATTTTGATTGGCTTCCTTTCTCACTATACTATTTCCCCTCAAAAAATCTGCCGTAGTTTTGTTCCTAATTAATGTACTTGCAGATGGTCAGCTAATTTAAACTTCCCATCTGGCTATATCCAAGGATAAAATCTGTATGGGTTATGAATACACCACTGATGATCAGATTCCATCTGTTTGAATCTTCCTCACATATCTGTACCACGAAAGCTACTGTTAAATGACAGACCATCAAAACACTGATTGGAAGGAATAGGTATTGCTTGTACAAATTCTTATTTACACCAAATAGGTCTCTAAAATATTTTAGGGAGTCACAATGAAATTGTTTAATGTGAAATGTTATTAATATGTTTCTTTCTTTGTAGTATTTTAAGGATTTTGAAATTGGCTGAAAGACATTAAGCAAAAAATATATAGCCTTTTTTTTTTTTACTTCCGTATATAAGGATAATCCTTGAATGAAGTAACAAGTTCAGTTCTCCTTCCTAAATACCCTATATAAGACAGATATGAACATTATTTCTCTATGGAAAGGAAAACTGACAAAATTAATTTGGAGTATTATTCATTTGTAAAAGCAATTCATCAACTACAGATTTACAATGAACTTTAATCAATGCTGCTCCCTGTGAAAGATATGCTCATGGACTTGCTATAAAACCAACTCAAATTTTCCAACATCATATGACCACTGAGTTGTTTAGTCAGGTGAAGCTGTTACATTTGTTAAATATCTTAATATTAGGCATGGAAACAATTGTTTAAAAGCAAGACAGTTGAGGCTACATACTCCCATGTACATTGAACTGGGAGAAAGCTTCATTGGATGATGTATATTTTTGAGTGAATACGTAAAGAGAATTAAGGTAGATCTATAACTGATTTAAACAAAACTTCAGTAAGTCAAGGCAGTGACTGATTCACAAACTGCCATAATGTGGTTTATTTTGGCTTCATATTTTAAGTGAACCCAACTATTTCATTTATATAACATGGTTTATAATTTCACATTATATATGAATCCAGGTAATAGCTTACATTAATAAGACAACTGGGTGCAATGAAATGAACAATATTCCTTTTAATATGTAACTTAAATAAATTTATGAGGTTGCAAAATATTAAGATTTCCCTAGGGACTATGATTTTTTTGTGGAACGTTCCCAATTGTGAATTTTGACAGGCATATAGAAATACAAATCTTTAATACTCTCCTCAGATTAATTTTGAAAAGAGAAGACTCCTGACACTATTTTTAAACTAGGAGTCCACCCAGCATATCAAGTTATTGCAAATTATTTAGTATCTATCTAAACACTAAATCTACTGCTAGACCCTAATTGAACTTCTGGCCAAACTTGCTGTAAAATATATGCACTGGGGATTCAAATCACACTAAGCCATCGTTTGTCAATTAAGGCATAGCAGTCTCATTCAAATTAATCCGAAGCCACAGCTTACAAGTTACCGTTGTTGGATCATGCTAGGCCAAAAACAAACTTACATTAGGGTCTGGTATATTGTGTGAATCCAGGAAAACTTCCAACTTTCAAGCTCTAAAAGCCTATATTGTATTAAGCTGGATTCACACATTACAGTACACCATACTTGACTTCGGCTCAGCATATTGCATGAATCTAGCCATTGCAATTTGCACGCCATGGTTTATAGCTAATTATGATAGAAGAAACATTCAGGTGCCAGCTTATTTAACCCAGTCTGAGAGAGCTTCAACCTAACCCACTACGCAAGAAATAGGCTGCAGAACTGCTCGCGATCGCACCCCATCCAGGCTGTCCTCAAAGCTCCACCTACTACTTACAAACACTCCGCTTTTCTTGCTCAGCCTCCTGGGGCCCTCTTAGAAAGCTGTCAAAAACAGTGCCTGCTCCAGTTCAGTATCATAACATCTAAGAAAGCCCGGAATATTTATTTTGAGGAGAATCAGATGTTCGCCTTCTTCCTGTTTTCTTTAACTTGCTGTGCGAATATTGCCAGTTTTTCGGCCAGGCATTTCGGGGAACGCTGACCACTTTCCGATCAGGCTCTTTTTGGGTACGCGGGTCCGAGCAGGCCCCCACCCTAGCCGGAAGGAAGGCACGGAGATTTCGCGAAGCCCCGCCTTCTTTCTTTTTGGCCTCCGACGCCATTTTGCGGGTACCCGCAGGAGTTTAGCTGCTCCCCTTTTTCGTCGGCTCCGGTATGCGGAGGCTCTGGTGGGAGGAAAGGAGCATCGGGGCTGATCGGGGAAGTGGGTGGAAGAAAACCTGGCTCGGCGGAACTCAGCGGGCCTGGGCAGTTTTGAAAACGTGGCTTGGCGTGGCGCGGAGGAATGAGGGCCAGGAGAGGAGCGTGCGGGGGCCGACAGGGAGGCAAGGGAGGTGAGCGGCGGGAGTGGGGGCTAGGAGGGTAGAAGAACGAGAGAAGGGCGAGTTTTGGTTTGGGCCGGAAGCGAAGTCCGGCGGGGGGGGGCGGCGGGGGGGGTGGCATCCAAGCGCACGTGGCCGAGGCCCAGAGAGAGTTGTAGTTCCTGCTCTTCTTCCCCTTCGGTAGTCCGGCGTTTGGGCAGATAATGCAGTTTAGTAACTTTAGCACGTGCTTTGCATACGCGGGGCCCGGAGCACAGTCATCGCCCCCTCCGCCTTCAGGAAGTCTTGAATAGGGGGCTTGGGGAAGATCTCCTCTGCAGCTCTGGGGGTTAGAAATCTCTGTCTGCATAAACACGATCGGTGTTCTGAGTCAATTCTCAGGCATGGTAGACTTGTGTATATTTTTCTTTGAAGTGATGTCTGTGGAGTCCTTGGGGTTCTACACATATTCGGCTCTATTGGAAGTTATGTCTGTTTAATATAGGTTCCCCCAACCTGGTTCCTTCTAGATGCGTTGGGTTGTGGCTTATTTGGGAGGGCATCACTTGGAGATAAGTATTCCTCATATGCAGGGCCGTTCTAGATCTTAAGTGATCTATCACATTTTAAAATATTGGACTAAAAATGTGGAGGTACCTATGCTTGAATCAGTGATCTATTGCATTCCTTTAAGTTTAGTTATGTTCTCTTGCCAATATAAGAAGCCATTTCTTCTCTGGATTGTTCCGGCGGGGGGGGGGGGGGTAGACGTTACAAGAAGGAATGTACATAGGAAGTTATCACATTCAGAAAAGACAAAACTGAAACATTTCTAATACTGTATAATATTGTTCTAGGACATAAAGGCTCCTTCTCCTTAAGATAGAGGTTACATTTACAATCCTTTGCTTGTACTCTGATGAGATTAAATCAGAATGAACATTGCCACTTTAATTTCAGAAATATTTTGCTCCTGTTGCATTCAGTGGAATTCTAATTATTGCTACAATTCTGCTATTTATTTATACATCAAAGTAGCTACAATTAGATTACTTCAGCAAATACTTGTTTTTCTGTCTTTGAATTTTATTAAGCTTTGTCCTCTTTCAGAGTATTGAATTGGATAATTTGGGGTGGAGAGAATGAAAATTTGAACGGTGTTATCTTGAACAGATTGTGAACATTTGAGATACTTGCTTTGTAGGCTAGTTTACTCCATTCTGCCTGCTGGGTATGATAGGAGATGTAGTGCAACAAATGTCCAGGGTATCAAGTTGGGGAAGAGTGATCTAATGTTGGCTGTCACAAGCAAATCCCATGTGTATAGCACGTCCATCTTAGCTGAGTAGGCAAGAGTTTAGGTCTGATTTTACAATAGGCTTCCTCCCCGCTTTCTGAGAAAGCCATAAAATAATGCTCAGTCATGCTGGGGGTCCTTAGAATTTGACACTGTCTTAAAGGATGTTGTGTGTGAGCTGTATTTTGGCAGGGCTTGCTTATTTCACATACAAAATATTAAGCTCAATCTAATTTAACAAGACTTTCTTCACTTGCTGAAAATGGTTCTTCTGACATGAATTCTCTTGCTTGTAACCATGTGGTTAATGACAAGGAAGCATCACTATTTCAGTATTTAGTAGAAAACACTCCATTTAAATCTGTTTAACACAGTGATCTTTATATTTCTTTTTTCTGAATTATGTTGTATATTGCTTACTCTTGTAGTGATCAGTCAAGATGACAAATACAAAGGGAAAGAGGAGAGGGACACGTTATATGTTCTCAAGACCTTTTCGCAAACATGGTAAGTGATATTTGTTGAGCCAGTTAAATTTAATAAGTAGTTAGAAATAAAAGTGTTTGTTGAATCCCTACTTGTGTGAAGAGTGACCGCTGGGGTGTGAATTATATAACATGCACTATAGTTAAATGGTTACCAATATCACCTGAATGTAAAGTTCACCTTCAG